CACCCGTTCTGGCTGTCCAACTTCATGGACGTCTTTACCTGGTCCCTACCGTTCGTCGGTGAGAAAATCACTGACATGCTGATCGCCATTCTCAACACCTGCTCGAAAGAAGAGTTGGAGGAGGATAGTACTCCCTCAACTGCTACGGCCAGTCCCGCCTCTCCATCCTTGCCCATAGATATTGATCCCGCTGGCGAGCCCAGCGAGATCAAGCAACGAGCTATCAGAAACAAGATTCTTGCAATCGGTCGTCTCTCCCGTGTCTTTAGGGTGCTCCGTGAACAATCTGAAGGCGTCAGTGAGCTGAAAGCAGTAACCGATGGCCGCCTACCCCCTGGTACCCTCCTGCTGGGGGCTGAAGGCATTAAGCAAGCCATCCACAACTTTGAGGAGGCCCGAAAGGTTGACCTGCAGAACGAGCGTCTGCCGCCTACCCACGAAGAAGTTTCCAAGCGAAGCGAAGAGGCTCATCGCTCTGCTCTGGAGCGTGCTGAGCAGGAGGCTGCCAGCGACGCCGAGTTGGCCACTATTGCGCACAGATTTAGCCTGTAAGTGAGCAACGCTTGTGTGCTCGTTGACAAGTCTAACATCACGATAGGCCTGAGGGCTCATATCGCAACCGTAATGTCACATCGAGGGAGGCCTAGGGCCCTTGGTTTGGAATACAGCTAGGGTATCTGCAACCTTACTCACCTAACTTAAATTATATCGAGGAGTTCTTAGAGTTAAAAGCATCCGTTAGACCGAACTGGGTGCGGTATGAAGAAGACCCAGAACATGGGTGGCATCATCATGCTCCGTTGCTGAGCAGACAGACACTCTGGTTTGTGTTTCCATTACAACTTGCTCTCAATGTGCACACCTGTCGTCGGGAATCCGGTGTCACTCACTTCCTACGCTCTTTGAGCTTTGATTGTTTCTTGAACCCTAATTTCAAGGATACCATTACTTAGGCAGCGTACAAAACAGTTTCAAGAATATGGGTATCGTAAGATTAAAAAATATTCTGTGACCTCGCAATAAAAAAAGCTATCCTATCATGTCTCGTTGACTATTGTGCTGCTCGTGCTGTCCTGTTAAATGACATACAATTTGTTTTAAATTTCAATGCGACAATTTGGTCTTAACCTTCGTGAGAGACATGATCGTCCTGTCCGTCCTTGTTTGTAAGTTCATCTTTGATGTCTGCTTGGTGAAGGAGAGGACTCTCCTCAATACTCGCACTTTTCCTATACGTATCTTGGTTGGCCTCTTCTTCAACGTTACTAGAGGCTGGAATAGAGGCATAAGGGTGCGAAATGCTTTCCCGATGGGGATGGGCTCTGCCCGTTTGAATAGCGCCGTTGTCAGTCTCGCGATCAGCGGCAGAAAGAGCGAAATCGCCAGAGTCAAAGTAGGTCCGTTCCTGCCGATTGTCAGTTAGCGTGCGTCATAAGAAACTGTATTCCAAGTACCTTGCCTTTTGAGCCAGTAAGCCTCCACGCGGAAACTTTCCGTACTTTTTGAGGATATGGTTCTCGGATTTAGACAAAGGCTAAGAGGATTATTAGCGTCGTTGGTTTCAGGAAGGGCAGGACCTACTTCGGGATCTGGTCTTCCTGACTGCATTTTGATAGATTAATCCTGTGTTTTCATATGACTTTCCAAGCCTGCGATGGGAACTGTATCTGAACAGAGATACTCTAAGATTCTCGAGCTAAATGTCCATGACGTTATTTATCCCGTCGCGTGATCCACTGGTGATTAGTCAGCTAGACCAGCGGCCCGGGCAAACTGGAAAACTGTACAGATCACGTCGTCGTTACGGGACAGGAATATACGATACAGGAATATTGCTATTTTGGAGACATTCACAATACAGTGAATGAATTGTTACGTGACGGCGTATTGGGGCGTTGAACTAAAAGAGGCAAAACTGACCGCATCCAGTAATTCGCAGATCCGCCGTTTACACCCCTAACTCATAGATTTTGAAGGCATTCTTGGGAAAATCTCAGGTGCGAAAGAATTCATGACCTCCTTCCTATCTAATTTGCACCAGGACTAGGCACAACCCGCAGGATACTCGTTGTTTGGTTATTTCCATTCATTTATACTCAGAAGAATACAGTCTTGGGGCAAACGCTCTCCCAAAATGCAGATTACCTGAGATTTCCAGTAGCATACTTCATCAGCCTTTCCAGCATTTCAATGAGGTTATGAGTAGGACCGCTAGGACGCAAAGAGACTTAAAAAGGGTTGATATTCAGAGACATTTTCTTGAATGTAAAAAGGCGCCGGTTGGTTTCTTCGCCAATTTCGGATCTCGCAATTCCGGTTCCCTGAATAAGATGATGGCTAGTCTATAATCGCAGGCTCAAATTCCGAGATTGAAGTTATAGAAACAACGCAGTAGTTTCAATTTACTCATCAGTCTCTCAAATATCACTTACATGCGTAAGGGCTCGCGCACACAACAGCATCCTCTCCTTATGCAACCGTGTAAGCGATGATTAATGAGTGGACCAGAGAACCACCGTCCACGTCGATACCAGTAACATGCGGAGCAATTGTGCACCACGGCCACCTTGGAAACAGCGAGGTATACCATACCTTGGCACCGGCTTCCTGCTCCAATTTCGGCATGCTCGGTATCTAGAAGACCTTTCATTCCTTTCCCTTTCTCTTAGGAGCGGTTGTATCTTTCATTCTTTTTCTTTGCTGGTTGAAAACCCCTCATGAAAGACTTGGTTTTCACACTGACTTTGACTGTCTCAACATTTGCATGCTCCGTTGTTCAAGTAGTATGGCATTGTGTGATTCAGTGGATGGAAGACGGTCTGGGATATCTCGCACAGTCTGAGAGTTTCGAGATACATCTCCTCCCTGTAGCCGGTGGTATCCCTCAGTCTAGGCTTTTCACTTGGTGTGTAGATGCTTAGCAAGCTTATCATCGCTTGGTCAAGTAAGCGAACTATCCGATTCACATCCATTCTCGGAAGCTCGATCCTCTCTGACTGATTTGGAAATATGCTAATCTGCCGGTAGGATGGCACAGGCATATGCAAAGTTGCGTGGCTTTAGAGGTGCATGACTCTTCTTCCGCCAGGTATATCGACCATCATGATAATTTCTTTGCATCAGTTCGCTTGAACAGAACACCATTGCCAATATCCCCACATCTTAGAAATGATTTAATGCTGGATCCTGTGATCGCTACTCGCGAATTCCCAGCACCAGCCTCATTCTATATTCGTCAATTTGTCAATCATAATACAATGGATATTATCCACGTAGATTCGTAGACTTACAATTGAGTGGTTGGGAGAGTTGAATGTTTTTTAAAAGAATGTATCACAAAAATAATATATCAAAGTGTGGGGTGGATCAAGAAAATAAGAGAAAGAAAGAAAGTAGGAGTAGAAGGGGTATTAGATATAGTAAACGTGTGAGCATATGATAGTTTATAGCCTCGGATTTCACTATATATGTATAACAATGTGTTGTAGCTACTAGCTACTGGGGGAAGAAGAAGAAGAAGAAGAATAATAATAATAATAATAATAATCCTTGTGTATTCAAGCTAGGAAAAGTAGGGTATAAATACCCTGAATCTGACAAACAAGTGCTTAGCCTGTACCTACGCAAACGACAGGAGATAGGATAATCTTCAGCATCGCTTCGACCAAAGCAACAAAATTGAATTCTAGAAAATGTCTATTAATAGATATTGGCCCAGTGGCGCAGTGGTTAACGCGCCGTGCTTGTATGTACTTTACAGGAACACGGAGACCGGGGGTTCGACTCCCCCCTAGGCCCTTTCTATTTATCTATTTATTTTTTTTTCGACTCACATTGTTGGATGACATTTTGACGAAGTGACTATGAATAGAAAGTAAAGATGAAGGTGTCCATCAAATACAGTGGGTGGTTGAGTATGAGAGAACTTGAGAGGTATAATAATTATAGAGAACCAGCACAGCTAGAGTAAGAAAAAAAAAAGTGTATGGAAGATAATAGTATCTCGAGAAAGCAGTCTACCTAATCTTCAAGAAAGTGACTTGAAATATCAAATGTAATAAGATCACCATTGAGTCTTTTACTTCTCGCTCACTTTGTAAATGTTTAGTTTATAATACCAGTATACTTATTAGACGGGAGGCTGCGGGGCCTCACTGAGACCGATTGAACTCAGTGGCATCCTGGCTGCCAAGGTTGACGAAGCGAGAGGAGAGAGACTATTCGGCTATACACGGTTAGCAAGCGGGACAGCAATTTGATGGAGAAAGGGGACATAGACTTGCCAGAGGACTGCGAGGCTCTCTCCTAAGAGGTCTCCATGTCAAGCGAGTCTTGCGACGCTGACAATGGAGACAAAGCACCAAGTGACCGGAGATCAAAGGTGTTCCCCTCTGAGTTCTCAACTGGGTCAAGAGGGTCGGGCGAGGGCTCAGCAATCTTGAGCATTGCTGAGAACGCCATTTTCACTTAAAAAGGCGAGAAGTTAGTACCTGGGCCAGGGACCAATGTGACGAACTAGGGCCCACTTACCAACGACTTGATCCAATGTCGCAGAAGGTGGAGTGGGTAACGAGACTGGAGGAGAGAGAAAAAGCAACGTCCTTGTACTCAGATAAGGCGTATTGAATAATAGAGATTTTAAAAAGCCACACATGATGGTAATTCTGAGAGTGGGATGCCCGTGAAAGGTTGAAGTGAGAAGAAAAACAAGGAATGAAAGTAGAAGGGTAAAAGGACTTTTAATGTTTTATAGCACTTATGTGATGCGGTATCAATGTCGTCGCAGTCAGTTGTAATATCCTGGTGGAACCCCTGCAGCAACTCGCGCGCGGCTGTAGTGGGCGACTCTCAGTTGTTGGTCGATTGGACGGTTCTTCCTTTGGGTTTGGTTGTCGTACAGTGTCTTTCGTATATGTGTGCTGCGATAGTATCTCTCCGACTCTGGAGTGGCTCTTCTTTTCTGTCGTCGTCCCTTGGTCTGCTTGCCAGTACGACGTGAGTCACGGACACCCCGCGGTCATCGTGGTACTGTGTCTTCCTACCTTGTGTATGCTGTCCACGTCTTGGCTTCCTAGGCGTCCTAAGCAGCGCGAATCTGGTCGGTCCACAATCTGGTGGGCCTCCAGCCTGCTCTTAAGGTGGAACGCCATGATATTGACCAGCGTGGACAGGACGACAGTGTCATTGCCATAGGTCAGGATTAGATCGGTCTGGGGGTGGTAGAGTTCCATGGCGAACTCAGTCTTAGTATAATGGGAACCCAAGAATTTTTATATTTTTATAGATATGCTGGAAAAGGACAGAGAGAATAAATGAAGTGTAAGGGCGAAAATATAAGAAAAAGAGATATATAAGTGGAAACAATAAAAGTCTTATTGATGAAAAGAAATAACTTCATGTCGGTCTGTGATTACTGACAGACCGATATCTGTCCCACAACCGTAGGAACGAGACTCCTCCAGAATTCCCGGTCAGCTTCCTAGGGATCGTGAACAGCTGCAGAAGGCTCTTCTCCTTCAAGTGTGTTTTATGGAAGACAGTAAAAATCCGATTGATTCAAGTTGAAATCATAGGGGGTAGTCAATTATGTAAAACTTCGGAAGAAGGAAGGGCTGGGAGGGAGGGGCTAATGCCAGTCCCATCAACCCTCCCATTGATACGGCAGTAAGATGAAGGCACATTTCTTTCTTTAACCACCAATTGGGGTCATTCGCGCTCACTATATAAGATTATGATTAGTTTATGATCGTGTACCAGTATGCTTGACATAAGTGTCAAAATTGGAGAGTGGGCTTACAGCTGCTGCGCTGCAGCTTCGGCTTTGTCCGCAGCTTGTCGGAGGGCGTCTGCGTGCGCTCGTAATTCCTGGGCCCCGGCGATTGCGGCCGCAGCTATGGCGGCTGCCTCGACAGCAGCCGCCTCGGCCTCTGCAACTGCGAAGGGGTGACCGAGAGATTTTCCGGCAGACGGTGGGCAGTATGTGCTATCATAGCCCAGTAGGTAATGTGCGTGTACTCACATAAGAGATGTTGAATTAGGTGGTTAAGAAAGATTGTGTCGAGAAATGTGTGGCAATTTCCGAGTGTGGATATTCGATGTTGGTAAAAGGTTGGTGCAACTGATGAATGGCGAAGAGAAGAGGAAGAAGGAAAGAAATCAGAGGGGGAAGAGGCAATTAAATATAGCAAACGCGCGAGTACATGGGGACCTGAGGCCGACTTATATTTTCCTCATTTGGAAACCTGATATTTCTCAGCTAACATTCAAATCCTAGTGACCGGCGAAGTGACTGTCTTCTAGGGTCTCCATTTATAGAGGAAATGAGGAAGCCAATATATAATGTACCAAGCAAATCTACTCTCATGAGCTTCTAATATACCCTATGGAAGACAAAGAGCATAAAGAAAGTCACAAATGCCGGTGATCTGACAAAAAAATGAGCTGAGAGTAAAAGATTCCAAATGATATAACTTTCGGCCACCTCATCTTCACCCATGTGACCGATTATATAAATAAGCATCAATCCAACTTTCGAATTCTTCCTTCTTTTAACACTTCGCATCCTACCCGCTCTCCACCCCGAAAGGGGTGTTGCTAGTCAAGAGTGCATCTATCAATCACCAAAATACGCACATTCCAGAGGAGAAGAGCTAAGTAACGCTGCAGATTGCGCCAACCCATACCGGGATCGACTGGACCGAATCGATCATGCACGAGGACAAGAACGGGCTCGCAGCAGAAGTCGTCCTTCCCAGATCCAACCCGAATTCCCGATCTGACACTCGTTTTGAAGAGGTGCCAACCACAGGAGATGACTGGAGGGCCAACCTTCAGGGTTATTCCATAGCCAAGCTGTCCGGTCACGCATGTGCAGCAATTTGATCGGGTTGGAACCTACAATCATAGGGTGACTTAGCTCGAGCAGTTGGAGAAGCTTCGTTTGTACCAGGAGGGTCCCAGTGGCTCAAGAACTATGTTTCTGTGGAAGTCAAAGTTCTTGACTTCAAATTTTAGCATCTGTTTGAAAGGTCTTGTTTTCCGTTTCGAGTATCCTCACTGCATGTATACTTGGATCCTTACTGGATGTAGTTTTGCAATGTGTGACTATTGTAGATATTTCTACGAGTGTAACTGCTCGTAGATTAGAATCATCGATTGCATTCAAATGCGGGTGAATGGAGACGTTGCATAAGTCATTCCAAAATAAAAGTGCGATATGGCAAAATACCCTGACCCAGGTCCCTTTATTCCGCAAAATGAAGTCGTCAAAAAAATCAAAGAAGAATATACATGAGGCAATCGTAAATCGTGAACAGCCAGGAATTCTAGGAAAAGGCAAGGAAAACAATTATTCGGTCCGGGGAGCATGGAATCCGTATCAAGCGAGACATACAACCCCAACATATCATAACACCTGATGCCAATCATGAAGTCTGCTGGCGTTTCCAGGGGATGTCTTTCCGAAGTAATTCGCGCAGCTCGGGAGAAATCACCTTCGGCTTATCAGCGTCGATCGCCTTTTGCAGATTAGAAGGGCCAGCGTTGACTCCGCTACTTGACCCAACGGCAGGTTGGGGTGATTTTCCCTTGCTGCCCGAAGGTGAATCTTGGCCGGTTGCGCCTGGGCGACGCTGGTGGGCGGTTGGTGCGGCGGGGAAGTTGTCTTTCTTGTCAATGGCTTGTACCGATCGCTCAAAACGGTGGAAGAGCGACTCTGCGCGGGTGAGAATGGGTACGAGATCCATCGTGTTGGAGAGCTCGTTGACTAAAGATTGCAATATTAGTAATTTGAAATCAATGTTACGTCCGGTTGTCAACGTACTGTACTTTAGCACTTCATCGAAGTGCTTGAGGTGATCCATGATTACATCACGGTGCTTCTCGAGGATCGCAAGTGCAATGAACAGGTGGAAACTGCTGGAGAAATAATCGGTCCACAATGTCTCCCATAGACGCAGGACATCGCTCCAGTCAAACTCCCGTTTATACCACACTAGCAGCATGCGGAAGAAGAAGAAGAAGTTGGTGCTGTCGGCGGACTGTAGATGCAAGTAGAGCTGGGGGTCCATGAGCTGAACGAGGTTATCCAGCGCTAACAGCTGACCACGCATTCCAGACTGGTCTCGCAGGAAATTATGTTCCTGTGCATAGACATTAGTAAGATAGTACGGCTTTTTGCATCGTGGAAAACATACCATTCGATCCATGAACCCGACAAAAGCCCAGAATGCTACAGCGTCATCTTGCATCACAGCATAGATCGGCGCCAGGAGATCACTCATTCCTTGGACGTACCCAAGGTCTGGATTGAATTCATTGTATGTCAAGAGCATATCCTTCATCTGTTCTAGGTGCACATTGGTACCCGTCTCGGCGAACGGGGAATCAGGATCCGGATGGGGGATGTCTTCGCCCGCAAACAAAGGAATGGTACGGTCTGTGCGGTGAACATCCTTCTCTATATCCATGTGTTAGTAGCCACCATGCCGAATCCAATGTGTAATCTCACCTATCCGATTCTTCTGTTCTTTCCAATGATCAAACTGCTCGATCGTTGAGTTGCCCTCGACCATTCGCTCCCACCAGCCTGCTTTCAGCCGGATATACTCATCGCGCTTGGAGTTCATCATCGCTTGGCGCTCCTCGCGGCTGCTATCCCACGAGTACACACCGAGAAGGAACAGCCAAGCCTCCTTTCTAACGCCATCGTTGGGATCTAAGCCGCCGTGGAAGATCCGCTCTTTGACTTCCTCCACTGTTACTTGAAGTCTACCCGAGGTCGGGTCGAAGAAGCCCTCCCATTCTTCCAGTTGTAGAACACGGCGTCGCTCCTGGATAGCCAGGTTCCCAGTCTCCAGCTCTAAGATCTCAAAGTCGCCAACCGAGCTATTCTCCATTTCCAGCATGTCCTGGGCGGTCCAAATACGCTGATTTCGCTCTTTATCGCTCTGCTCGGCAACACTCATCGCCCAACGAGCCAGATAGACTCTGGCGCTGTCGAACTCATCCTGCAACGTCTGGATTTCTGGGTTCTTCATTAAACGGCGCACCTGAGGCGGTATGCGAGGATTTTCTGCGATCTCATTGGCAGTTCGACGGGTAAAAGTGGTGATTTTGCTGAGCTGCTCCAGCACTTTCCACCGTGTCTCCTTGAGAGTCTTCATGAACGGATCCATGGTGGCATCGGGCGGTTCGGCTCGGGATCCGGCAGCGGCTTCAGGTTGTGCCTTTGCTAATAGTGGTTTATCGCTGTGGCTCAAAGGTCGGCCGAAGGACAGCTGGTCCTCATCCGACGGGTTGATGAGGTACACATTATGATCCACCGCAGAGCGCTGCACCTCCGCATACCTCCGCAACCAGCGCAGGACCTCATCGCCGCCCCAAAACAACCCGCCTTCAGTGCCAAATGGATCGAAGTTTTCCTTGACCCTCTTCCTCTTTTGTAGGATGGTTGACTCGCATTCGTCGTCATGGAAGAATAGCGCGGGGAAGCCATCGCCCGCTCGGGTATTGATCACTAAACTGCCAAACCACCATCCCAGGCTCGGCGGCCGTACTAATATGGAGTATATCTGCGATAGCGGAATTGCAAAAGCATACAACCCGATGGGGTCTTTGTAGGTGGTGGTGGTCGGAAGCGGCGGAACGAGGTACTTCTGACGCGGCGGAGAATCACCTTCCGAGAGATCTACTTTCACGTATGTATCATATGCTTCTCCAAGAGAGGACTCTGGAACCCATGCGAGAAGATAGGAGGGTGTGTCGGGGTTTTTGGATTGAGACGCGGATGCATGTGATGCGGGGACGGGCTTTTGCTGGATGAGGGCGATAAAGCCAGGGATATTATCTTTGGAGGAGGAAGTTGGATGAACGTAGACCTGGATTTTTTATTAGCCTGGGATTCCTCTCTGGTGGAGATTGTCTCACTTTGCTTTTGGAAAAGAGCAGCTTAACCCCTCTGCTCGAGGCAGCCTGGGCTATGGTGTTATATTCATCTTCTTCGTCGTCACTCATGGCGTAACAAGATGCTGGAGGTGATGGTGTAGGAGGAGGGGTATATTTGACCGGGGCCATGATAGAAATTTGGGAACTTTGGAGTTGCTTGGAAGTTCCAACCTTTCAAGTTGAAAGTTGAAGGTTGGAAAGTTGGAAGTTGGAGACGACGTAATTGCCCGATAAGATACGATACGGGACCGTCTGATTTTCCCTTCTTATATCCCCAAGTGATGCTTCTTTCACTCTTCTCTGTCTTTGATTTCTGGATCTTTGGGTCTTTATTGAGATGTTTGATTTTGTTGAATTGTAGATGTTGAAAGTATTCTCTTTTCTTTTTTTTTTTTTTTTTTTGGCTGCTTCGCCTCCATCTCGGATCCTCCAGGCAGCCAAATTCACAGTCAACCTTGGAAGTGGACTCTTGGAGACCTTATTAAGCAAGCAATCTATTCATGGATTCATGAATATCATCGTTATAATACATATTTACTGATATCAAGGTGGAATGGAAACTAGGGGAAGGATAGAAGAGTTGCATATGGTAGTGTAAGTAAGCTGCTTTGCCAAGCTTTCCAAGGTTGATATGGTGAAGCTGGATGTATATAAAAACCGAATTAATTAACAGGAAGAATTATATTACAGAGAAATAAGTCCTCCCAATGTCGAGACTAGTACATATATATTAAGTCTTTTCCGCTTCCAAAAAGGTATTCCAACCGACAAGCAAGAAACGAAAAGAGGAAGAAAGCTATCCACCACTCTTCATTTCTTCGACAATCCACTGTCGTTCACAAGCCAGGTGTCGAATGTTTTCATCTCGGGATTAATCTCCCGCAATTTCTGGATATCGGCTCCGTAACCCTCATCATGAAACCATTTAAACATATAACCCATGTCCTTCATAGCAGCCATGAACAAAGAGCAAATCGGACGGAAAGCCATAGGCAGATTCTGTCCCATACGACGAAAGAAGGTCTGATCCATCTGGTCAAATGTCAATTCATCGCCAGCCAGGGAAATCCCCTTGCCCTCGTATTTGTCGGGGTTCAGGAAGGCTTCGGCCCCGAAATATCCAATGTCACTTGTAGCGACCAGCTGTAAGGGCTTTCCTTTCAGTGCCATTTTGAAACAGGTCGCAAACATCTTGCCAAAGAAATCCGGAGTCAAGTTCTCATAGAAAGCTGCTGGTCTCAAGATGGTCCATTTCATATGGTGGTTCTTCGCGCGATCGATAAGGTGATGCTCGATGTTGTGCTTTTTGATGAAATGTGGGATCTTAGTTGGGTTGTTATATGAACGTTTCTCGCCACCACGGTCGACGGAGCTATACACGAAGAATTTGACGTCCTGGTTGATCGCTTCATCGACTAGACTTTTGCCTTGGACTTCTTCTGAACTATTTCCGATGGCCGCCTGTTTCTCCGTAATTAGTATCATGGGATCGTCTCTAGGCGAGATGTTATTGGGCATTCGATTACCTGCACACTGTAAACACCCCATATGGGAGCCGAAGCTAAGCGCCGGGCATTCTGAAAGATTTCAGCCGGGTTGTCAAGATCGCCTTGAACGAGCTTGATATTGGAAGATAGACTCCGGAGTTTTTGCGCAGATGCAGAAGTTGGATCGCGTGTGACAGCCAAGACTTCGAAAGGAGCATTGCGGGAGATGAGACTCTTGATGAGGGAGCCTCCCTGCTTTCCCGTCGCACCTGTAATCAACACGGCAGACATTGTTGACTTATAGTAGGAGGATGCTGTCTATTTTCGTAAGAAAAGAAGGAGAAGAAACTGTGCGATGCTTTGGGTTTTATTGAGTTAAGTGATATCGCCACATATTGTTCGGCCCGTATTTTAAGCCCGGGCTGAATAAAGAAGAAAACAAGGCGGATACCTAATCAAACTTCAAACTTATACATGTAAGCTTCAGACCTTCAAGTGGAGTATCTGATCAACCGGAGTGGTATCCGGGCGTTATTTTAACCCCGAAAAAGGGGAGCTGACTTTCCTTCCATTTGCAAAAGGGCTCCCGGGGAGGGCTTACCTAGTTCGATAGATAATCCATTTACATCAGCACCATTAGAAAACCACAGCAAATGATTGTAACAAATATTTCTATCGCATTGTCGTAAATACTTCGATCATCATTTCTAGTTCGCTCAATCTCATCCGTCCACTGAAGTTCGCTCAAGCATAGACAGGCTAGAAATGCCTACTTAGGTATATCCACTTCTACCCTCATAGACCCCCATTAGCGCTATTATCCCTTGACTCAGCTCATAAAAGTCCAAAGACCCTGAAGATCTTCAGCCTATCTCTGGGGCCTTTACGCGGCCAGAACATCTTAGATCTGTGCGTCACCCGTGTGATCAGACGTGACACCAACGGGACTCGATAACTCATTTGGGAAACGATATACCGAACCTCTCCAGCGCACTCAAGGTTGGACAACCTTATTGCCACAAAAAAAGCATGTCTATCAGTTGAGGTCGGGATTCACTCTATTAGCACAAAAGGCAATTTGTGGTGATATAAAAATGAGACTACTTCGCTGTTGCTGTTCACAATTTCAATAGTGCTTATTTGATACTTGAATTTACTCATTAATTTCATCGAAATCATGGCCGAGCTCACTCGCACTTTGCCCGCTTCTTGGTACTGCAGTCAGCCGATGTACCAGATGGAGCGGCGGGCGGTCTTTCTCAAAGTACGTAGCGCAATCTGCTGGTAGATGAAAGAGACTAAGACATGCTCTAGTCTTGGTACTTGCTGGGGCCCGTCACTAGATTCCAGGTTGTGGGCGAACATGTTCCGTACGAAGTTGCGCAACAGCCTGTCTCTGCTGTTCGCACCTCGGGAGGGGCTCTGAACCCTGTTGCTGAGGAGCTGAAGGTTGTCTGCGCGAAAACTGTACGTGTGATTACAGGTGAAATGTCATGTTCCTTCTAACAATTTTGTACTTCAGGGCAAAGAACTACGCAGCCACCTTACCCCAACTGGGCTCCTCTTCTCGACTATCTCCGACGATGCTCCCAGCTTCCATGAATTCTTCCCAGAGCTTGAAGATCTACTCGGCAAAGTCGACTTCACTAAGCTGCCGCATCGTCGTAGCATCAGCTATGAAGGCCGATTTAACTGGAAGACCATGTAATATTCTCTGTTATCCGTTTTAATGTGTTGATATTAACTCCCGTCAGGGTCGATGGATATCAAGAGTGTCTACACTGCCAATACACCCACCCGTCTTTCTCCAAATACTACCCGCCGACCTTCTACACCGTGCGCAACAAGCACAATTTTTCACAGCATATCGCAGACCCGAACAAGTCAGATGATGGTCTCTTCCTGTACTTCTTTCCCAACTGCACGCTAAATGTCTATGGCGGTGGCATGTCCTGCTTCAGAGTATGTCCGACCGCTGACCCGCATGTCACCCGGATGGAATTTGATTACTTCCATCTTGAATCTGGGGAAAAGTTCGAGGAATATTTCAAATTCGTGCGTCAAGTTGCTATGGAAGATTTTGAGCTCTGCGAGAAGGCCCAGAGCAATCTAGCTAAGGGAGTCTATCATGAGGGAATTCTGAACCCAAACAAGGAGAATGGCGTGTCTTGTGAGTTGTGACTTTTAAGGTTTGTTTATGCAATAATGCTAATACACATTTCTCCTTCAGACTACCAGAGACGAGTATTTGATATGGTCTGTGAACAGCATGAGCTTGACAGGACCGCCAAGACAGCGAAAGAGTCTGGACTGGAGGAGCATGTTTCGCCCTCCGTGGTTCAAATGGCAGCGTAGTATTTATTCACGGGAAGATAGTGATCGCTTTTTGATATGAGATATGAATGTTACTACAATTATAATCTTAACGCCTTGCACAGTGCTCACCGTATGATAAAGGTAACTCCAACCACACAGGATGGAAAATTAGAAGTGACAAGTCATCCGATTGATACCAGGAAATTCCAACCCAATCGGGTAATAAAGGCAGACATCTACGCTAAATGTGGAGAGTATAATGTGGAGGGGTGACATCTAGGATTCTAACAACCTTGAAAAGTATATCAGTGGCAGATGCCAACCAATTTCTATTATCCAAAAAGTAACACTTCATTTATCATGGAGTCTACCGATGCAGATTATTTAGCCTCTCCAGCCTCCGTCCTCGTGGCCTTGGTGACAATCATCCTTTTACTCCACCGAGCATGGCCTCATTTATCTCAAACTAAAACCGATAAATTCACTGATCCTATTGCAATTACCTCCCTAAATAACTCAGACTTAACGGTGTCCAAAGAACCCGAAATCCCAGAAGGATGGTGGAGCGGTCGGGAAGTCTTCGAGCTCGAACGGCGCGCGCTCTTCAGTCAAGTAATAGAAATACTAGTATGATATGGCTTGGCAGTATCGCTAACTACAGCTCTAGACATGGCTCTATCTTGCCCACAGCTCCCAATTTGAAAAGCCCGGCGCGTATCAATCGTTCGATGTTGCTGGGTTCCCAGTCTTTCTCATTCGCGGTAAAGACGACAAGATCCGCGCATTTCATAATGTATGTCGTCATCGCGCCTATACCATTACCAGAAAGGAAACTGGTGCTTCGACTGTTCTTGGTTGTCGGTATCATGGCTGGAGCTATGATACCACTGGGCGACTCGTGAAGGCTCCTCAGTTTGACGACGTTCCCGGGTTTGATAAGTCGCAGAATAGTCTGTTTGAGGTTCATACACATACCACTGATCAAGGGATGGTTTTTGTGAATCTAAATTCTGATGAGCCTGTTGCCTTTGACACTGAGTTGGCTTCGAGTTTGGGTGGATTTTCGCGCGTGGCTGGTGTGACAGCGAAATCCGCTTGGGTCTCTGGTCAGACTTTGTCGGGGGACTTCAACTGGAAAGTTGGTGGTGAGTAACTAATGTCAAGGATAGTTGGGGACAGTGGCTGACACTTCAATAGCACGGACTTGTCACCTCGATGCCTATACCAGCGAGCTACATCGCAGAATGTCTGAAGTATCGGCGGCCTCTCCCGTCATGGAGTTTATCAGGTCTATTACACGGAAGAGCACGCAAAAAGATTATTCCTTGTTTCCTATTACAGTTATGTATTCGCTTCAAGATGCGGGTTTATGCCTCGCCCTTTCTTTCTTTCCCGCCTCCGAGTCAAAGACACATATTCGCTACGACCTCTTCGCCCGCTCCTCTGTCAATGAACCAGACATCCAGAAAATGTCCGAAGTATTACAGAGGGCGACGAATAACTTGATTAGAGATATTGAGCTTGAATATCAATCTATCTCAACCAAGCAAGGGTGAGTACTACATGCTACATGTATGTTATGCGCGAGAAGACCTGCTGATAATCCCTTAACTAGATATTCGAGCGAGTTAAATAACACAAGTATGGTCCTTTAACATCGGCTTTCTTTTTTCTAATGCCTAATTCAATTAAGCAGACACTCTTCGAATTTTGAGTCGACTCCAGGAGCACACAAAGCTCGAGCGGATCGAAGGGGGGCAGATCCTCCCAGCCATGCACAAACCAAGAGGAAGCACTCTATTCCAAAAGGCCGATCAATGTAAGTACTTTGGTTTCAAATTAGGCCTTACTGCCCCACTAATGTACAGTAGTGTGTAAAGAGCTAGACTGTGTTAGCGGTGGATCGCAGAACGGTTCTTCACCAAGTGCACTTGACTGGTAGACTTGTCTGGATCTCATCTTTGCTTTGGGGTCAGCCCGTTTATTTCGCAGTTGGTTTTGTGAATTGAGACTGATTAACCGGGATAAGAGATATTAGGCAATATAGAATCATCTGTTTTCAGAATATGACACGGAAACAAACTGTTCGTAAATTTCTAAATAAGATAAACATACAAAACCAGCAAAAGGTCGACACCAATCGAATCGTAAAATCAATAACAAACATACGAACTAAACATAAACCAACGCAAAGCTATCAGGCATAAATGAAATAAGAAATCATATGCAGGAAGCGTACCCCCATGCTTCATACGACAAGCAACGCCGATCCCTCTACCAGTACCAGGTCGAGACACACCCTCTCAGCTTCGGCGATTCGATCCTCCCCTGCGCACAGTCTTAGTGACCATATTACTAGGATCCCTTATACGACCTAGAGTCTGTCTCCCCCACTGCGAGCAGTAATATGGGTTGGCCTATTCCTCCTAATAGCCTCCGCGCGAACAGCATCTGACACAGTGCCATCGTCATACATTAGCGGCACCTCATATCGAGAAAGCCTGCGTGTCTGAGGGCTTCTGGGGTAGGTTGCGCTATCTCGGTTGCGCGATCCATCTCGCGAGCTACTCCGAAGCAGCCGCGTCCCTGTTCCGATACTGTGCATGAGGACAAGCATATCGTTATCTTGTATGAACGCCTTCAGCGCTAGATGCCATTCGCTGCCGGGCCAGAAATTGGGCAGACGGCGGACAAGTGCTTGCATCTTGCGCACCGCGAGGAGCTCCATCACACTCTGCGTGGGTTCTGTGATTCGGCCGTCGGCGAGCTTGCGCTTGTGCGATGCTAGTCCTTCAGCGATCTCGGAGCCGAAGATCTTGCCATATTCATTATCGAATAGCGAGTCTGGGAGATGTGAGAGGATGATAGAGAATATCTCGCCGCTGTGAAGGTACGAGCTTCGAGCCGCGCAGATCAGGGCGTACCCTTGTGGGCCCCCATCTAATCTCGACTGCATTGGATCAGATTTCTGGCACAGCCAGTCGATTGCGGCTGGCTCGTCGAAACATGCGGCGTACATCAGTGGGTTCATGGTTTCTGAATTTCGGACCTCTGCGTTAAGCATGGAGAATTTATCGAGCCATTCCATAAAGTCGGCTCCGGCGGGGTTGAAGGCTGCTGCGATATGCCAGGAGGATTCTAGCTGCCCACCGAGCTCATGGAACTGGTGCTCGACGTTACCTATGTTGATTCCATGTTGGTAGAGTGCTTGTGCCACTTCTACGGGTGCGACAGCGCAGAACTCGTGCATCGCTGCTTTGTGGAAGATCGTGCGAAGTTCCTCAATTGGCGCAAGTCGTGCCTGACGTAGCCTGTTCAGGGCAATCACGAACTGGGAAAATGCACCGACACCGACGAGAGAAAGAAGAATGTGATTCTCGCGGGTTTCTCTGACATCTCTGGGTTTTGTCAGATGTTGAGGATCCGCATTGCTGACAATGTAGGTAAGCAAGTCCATATTGGGTCCATTCAGTCCTGCCTCAAGCCAGCTCCTTCCCGATAGATCATACCCATTGGGCGTGACGATGCCGAAATGAACCAGGAACTCTAAGCAGGAAGAGCATTGCATTGCGGCATTGTATGCAGGATGGGTCTTGAATGGATGGTGGTCCGTTTCTCTTGGGAATGTGGTGCAATCTGACAAATAACCCACTGCATCTTCATAGTTTGTGTAGGATCGGATCAACTCCTTCCATTTATCGACAGTACCAGGGCGTCTAAACCATTTTTCCACACTCGCTTTGAGGGGTCCATTGTGTCTTACGAGTCCATGCATAGCGTGGATCTTCTTTTCCTCCATATATCGAACTCCCACCGAGAAACCAACCATCCTGTCGAATATGATCTCGAGTGCCTTCTGAGGGAGCTGGGCAAGAGGCAACCTGGTGGCCCATTGGATTTGATGGGCTGCTGATTTCTTGTCGACTTTGCTAGGCCAGGCAACCTGAAGCACACCACCTTTCACGTTTCCACTTTGTAATCGGTCGAAAATGACTCCCCAAACTGCTGGACCCCAAGATTCCAGCATTTCTTCATCGAAGCCGGCCATGGTGGATGAATTTGGGAGGGCTTACTGTGAGACTTTTTTGAGGTTCGTGAGAATCTATCGAGCGGTTAACATGAAGCTAGTTTATATCTTCACCTCTCCAACACCCAGGAACATCGGTATGTAGCAGTTCTCTCTAAATTTTCCTTTGATCGAAAGAACCAAAGAAAATAAATATAGATTCTTTTGTAGTTATTGGACAAGAAGTAAGATAAATTCCCCCTAAAAGGGTAGATGAGGACGATTCTAAGAGTACAAATGAACAAAGGGTTGAAGGACTAAACTTCTGTTTTGTTATGGGATGATAGAGCATAGTGAGCTCAAATTCATATATCTGAAGTGAAATATTGAGCCAGGTCGAGTCCAAGGCGATCCCTGTGCATTAATTATTAACAAGTTAAAAATTTACTGTTTTACTCACCTAACTTAGGAATAATGGAATTCCAATCTTACATTTCCCTTGGTCATCAAATAGAATCGAGAACTCGAAAAAAACGTGGGAAAAGTGGCTCTGATCGGGTTCATCTTGGGCAACAAAGAGCTTCTTTCACAACCCAGAAGTGACGTTCAAATATTTCGTAGTTTCTACATAAGAATTGAAACGACAGGGGAAATTCTACCTAGTGGTCCAGCTAAGCTCCAACCTCCAGCCTTGGATTTAGTTGCTAGGCCATTGGAATGTGGGTATATAACTAATTATACCGGATATGTCTATACACAATCAGCGAGATGAAGATCTGTATCGAATTTGGAAGGAATTTTTCCGCAGTTTTGACAAAGAAAGAGGTGTAAGAATTAGGAATCCATTTTGAATGATACAGAGAATACTATCAATAGAGACCTACAGCTAGGATAGCTTACCCTTACGAATGTAAGATCAATCGGAATTATCTATTAATAGTATTAAGCTGTATAGGGCAGGTGGAGGCTTTCGAAAAGCCTAAAATGTCATAAACATTTCTGCACGACATCAAAATTCAAGTAAGCACTAAAAGCAGCCCCCCGATCCTAGGGTAAATTTTTATTATTGGCAGTGCCAAGCTGCATTAGACGTTCTCGTACGGAGTATTTTGCTTTGACTTTGATCTACACTTTCTCCTCGTTCCTGAAATACTTGGCATTGGATATAATTAGCAACGCTCCGCTCGCAAAACATTAACGTTTGTGTATTAGTCTCCCCCACTCTGGGGAAAAAAATCATGTTTGAGAAATCATGTTTGAGAGAGGAAGTACGGGCTTATTACTGGGATACAATAAATCATGCAGAGTCTCTTTCAGGGCCAACACATTCGACTAGATTGCCGACCCTTCGATTGGGGGAGTAAGATATAGGAAAGTAGAAACTCAGAGAAATCATCTCGGGTCAACATCTAATACTGCAACATAATGCAACGCAGGGCAAATGCAATAAGTATACAAACATAAATTATCGAACAAAATGACATTCATGCAGAGTGATTTGGTTATAATTTGGACCCCACGCGGCATGGGTCTTCTTCACAAGCACAAAACAGGGGGCCAACACTATAATACGATTTATTTGTAAATTTAGGACAGACTTGTTATTGCAGATCAAAGCCACTCGGACTGTGAGGATTTACATTTTCCCTTGCAATTTTTTTCTGCGCCATAGACTCCAAGCCAAAGAGCAACTCTAGTGTAGATCAAAGACAAGCACATTCAGATTCGGGATAATGAAACTATAACTCTGCTTCAACTCTAGCTAAACATATTCATTGGTCCAGAAATACTACCTCTGATTAAATACAAAATACTCCAAGCCCAAATCAACAGTCGCCGGCATCAATCTTGGCCTCAGCCTCAATATCAGCAAGTTTAGTCCCAGCAGCAATCTCATCATACCAAACACTCCGAGTCCCCTGGGATCCCTTCATCTCCTTATCATCATGCCAACCATTCGCATAAAGACCAGCCCGGAACTGGAAAGCCGCATCACCGTCAATGGTAGTAATGAGATCCTTCTCATCCAAAACCTTCTCACCATCATACCAAACTCTGAAGTACCCCGTCTCATCCGACTCCCACTTCGCTTCAATCTCAACTCGGTGCCATTCACCCGCAGTAACAGTGGCTAGGTTGTTAAACCCCTTCACATTCTGCTTGCAGACCGAACCCTGCTTGACACGCGTGTAGAGTTTGTTTCCCTTAAGTGCGACCATGGTCGTCGGCATCCAGTCGTCGCAGCCGCTGTCTGTGAAATCACCGATGAATTGCGCGATGCTGTAGGATTGCACGGGGGGAGAATTGCCAGTCGTCTTGTAGCCGGAAGGAGAACCCGTATGCGCCCGCATCGCCGCGCTTGTAAATGTCGTTCTTCACTACTTCCGAGTGGTACCGGCCGGAGTAACTTTTGTCGTAAATTTGGGTCATTTTGAGAGCCGTTTTTCCCTCATACGCCTCATCTGTCACTTGCTTCACAGTGCCCTTGTGTTCTTGATTTATTTTGTTCCAGCCTGAGGTTGTGCCGGGGTTTTTGAAGATTAGGCTCGCCTGAGCAGTCAGGCTGAGTGCCAGCAATGCTGCGATTGAGGGGAGTTTGCCAAGCATGATAGGGGCAGGTAGAGACAATTGATATGGTGTAGAGTTGGTGGTTGTATCTTTTGACTAGTTACATTCTCGTGGGTTGAGTGGTTTTATACGTATAAATCCGACCTTCCCTCAGGGGAAGTTAAAGAGTGCCGAGTCTCCCATTAGTTTGATTGATGTTCTATCATTGAGTCTTCAAGGATCTATGTTGTAGAGGATTTACTCAAAAGAGAAGTAAGCCAAGCCGTTTAAGAGGAGCGATCAATGCCGGATTCGTCTGCAACAATACTCCTGATAATCCACTGCGGATAATCTGGTGAGTATCATTGGGTCAATGGATGTGATTGACATGAAATTTAGATGATTTAATATATAACCCCTGCTTGTGGATCATCTAGCTCTCACCACCAGTTGGTCGAAAGGTAGTTACTAACCCTGCAAAACGTTACATGGTGCTCGGATTTCTCTGCGCGAGATTTGATAACCATGAATCTTACTGTTATAAGCAAATGGTATAAGGACATTTAATTCCAGATCGAGTAAATCCAGATGAAGCAATATAAGATGAATAGAGGTTACTTAACTACCTAGGTAGTGAATGATCTTGGAGCCTAGACGGCCATAATATTCAGTCAGAAAGTAGTCTTCTCCTTTTCTCTCCGAGGCTGCTCTTTTCACTTACTTACAATCTACTACGGAGTATATGCCTCAATATCATAGCTCTCTTTCTTTCTTCTTTTCCCTCTCCATCTCCGTGGTTTCCTGGATTTTTTTTCTTGTTCCTATCAAAAATTTTCTCACTTTTGCCTTCTGTATATTCCCTGACAGCTTTTGTGATCAACAAGTTTTTCAGCCACCAAAAAATATAGACCTTGGAAGCTTGGGCGTGGAGTCAAATCGTTATCGAATCGAGCATCAAGACCAGTCCAATCCACACGTGGCTGCTGTGGCGAAGGAAAATCCCCGAGAACGCTGAAACTTTGTGCCCCAACCTTTCGCCGTTTCCTTTGCAATATTAGCCGTGTTATCATAGCCGCGCTATCACCACCGGTAGGGAGAAATGTGCGAGGAGTAATACGTGGATTTCACTTAAACTGACTAGCTGAGTAGGTTCTCTTTTGGTGCTAGGTAAGTATCTTCCTTCCTGATTGGGCCAATGGTCTAGTTGCAGAGTGCAGAGGTAAGCAGATACCCACAGTGGACTCTAGCCAAGCTCAGCCATGGCATTTTAGTTCCCACAATTATTCACGCATTAAAAGAGGGGATATATCCACATGATGCTGCAGAAAACTTCAAGCCATACCTAGGTATGCAGTGTGCACGAGCGCGTTTTGGCTAGGCAAAATAGGCACACACTAGGAGATCCATGGATGAGACTCCTTTTCTGATTATGTTGACAAACAATACTAGTTGATGGAATTACCTGTAAAAAGCAATGCGAGATACTAGGACTATCAGGTCTAGGGTACACGAATGTACCAGTACAAGTCTATGTTGGTCACCTGGGCACAGTCATAGTTGGGGGCTGGAATGCACCGGGCAATGGGGCGGAAAATCTAGTGATCGCCTTGCATATATTTTTATGTGGGATTATTATCGCATATCATTGGCCAATTTTGGCTATCGTATCCATACCCAAGTAACTATCTGACGCCAATGATTGACACGACAGAATAAGAATAACATTCACTGCGCCTTTCCGAGTACGAGAGAACACGAAGTTTGATGCAACTATAACTACGGGGTATAGAACCCGCCATTTAAGGATTAGAGAATCTGCCTCGAATATCAACACATTTACTCCGTACTTTACTCCATAACTATCTCACGATTTACTCAATAGGGAATTTGGGGGGTGATCTTTTGGCCCCAGGGATCGCTATTTGGCTGCAGCACACTAATCCAATAATCGACAAAATAATCAATTATGGTCCGGTTATTTGTCTAGGAGATCATTTTGAGAAACGCCATACTGCATGCACAACCTTGGAAGACCACCTACTGATTTCGGGGCGCCTAAAAGGGCAATATCAACCGGTCTGTGCCTATGTTGTGCGGTATTAGATCTATCTGAAATAGTTCTGATTCTGAGCTTCTCTTCTGTCTCATCTTTGCGAACTCCTATGCTTGCAAGAGAAGACAAAAAAATAGTTGGTGGGTTCGTTGGTCTTTTGTTCTATGCAGCCACAACCGGTATGAACTATTTTCAACAAAGAAACCCATATACTTCGCCTCCGCGAGTCTGCTTTCACCTAGATTCCAATTCATAGTATGTTCTAGCGCAACCACCGTGTGATTGGGGGGCTTTGAGTAAACATTCTGACCTGCTAACAAAGAGCAAGGGCGGCCTAAACCGGTCAACAATGCCCCACGAATACAAATTCAGAACAGCAGTCCAAGATATGAGTTATTGGCTATTACCATCGCCTTCTAGGCCTCGTGATCTTTCAAACCAGAAGACCAAGGCTCTGAAACAAAAGAAACTAGTTTTTCGACCTCTGTCGCTGAAGCTTCGAAGAAAACCCTCCAGTCTCGAAACCAAAGCCACGGCTCTCCGAGGCACTGTTTCAGGTCAATCAACTCCCACAGTCAATAAAGACATTCAGACAATGCCAGCATACGCGGACACCACCCATGGCTCGTCTGGATCGGCCCCAAGGGGGGCTGTTAAACACATGGCAGCCGCCACTGAAAAGACTCAAGGCCAATCACACCATCTGGGTCTCAAAGAAGAAGACATCGCTGGCGGAGACGCCGGGGACACTCGGTCTGCCTCCCCGCGGAAATCTTTGGACACTATGATTGACTTGGAATCACCCCAGGATTCTGAAACTGATTCTGAAATTTCTCCATTGTCGGACTATCCCCATCCATTGCGTTCAGCTTCCCGCTTGGCCCGCTTCTTCCCAGAGCTATCCTCACACTTCGCCGTTGTCTCCCCGGTCGGTGCTGATTCCAAAATGGACCGCTCCACGGGGCCCTCTTTTTTCGAACGAGAACTAGAAGAACGTGTGCAGACTTTATATCGAAGCTCAGCAGATGTCGCCCCTGATGCATATGAGGTAGTCGATAAACCGCAGATCACCCTCTCGTCTTCTGGATCTGATGAGACTTTGGATTGTGCTTCATCATGCTACAGTCATCGCACTTCGGTGACCAGCATCGGGAGCACGCTCTTGGGAGATGATGGACGGCACCCCTACAAAACGGCAGATGCATACTCAATCTATTCCCCCGTCGCTGCGGGGGTCTTCGACGATTCCAGTTCCATCTGTCCTTCACGGCCTTCCTCAATAGTTGCGCCCTGCCACCTACACGTGTCAAAACTCGCCCGTCCAATCCCCATCACCAAAAACGCATCGATGAACGATCTCAAGAACAAGCCCTTGCCATTAGAGCCATCCTTCGGTCCCAGTTCAGCACCAAGTCACCACGACGACTCCCCCCTTTCGGCAGTTTCACCGCATCTCAGACCAAAGTGGTCAACACAATACTCAAAGAGAGACTCGCTGGTCTCGTTGAAACACCCCGCTACAGTGAGCCACAGCGACTGGAAGCATTCCATGTTACATCAACTAAATTTCTACCGAGATTCCAAACATCCGTGCCAGACATGCGGACACAGTCAGCATCAGCCGCAGTGTCAGGGTCGACAACGGTCAGATCTGGTGGTAGCTGGTCATCGAGCTCGCCATGTCCCAACGTTGTCGCAGGCTACCGAGGAACTTGAAGATGCCCTGGGCCTGGGTGATCAAGATTTGTATCACCAAACACTACTGGTTCTTGATGGGCCGTTGCAGATCAGCCGCCATAATGGGGACCTGATTGCTACCCGTCCCGCGCCCCTCCCCCCTTCCACCAAGCCTCACTCACAAACCCCGCAAGGGAAGTCCACACTGAAGAACAGTCGGGTCAACACAATTAAATCAATAGGCTCAACTCCAACCAAAGAAAAAAGTCACAAACTCAGTAAGAGAGAAGCGAAATACAAGCGATCGGGCAGGGATAAGGAGAAGGAGATGGATGAAAAGGCCGACGCCAAAAATACACCAGCCTCCAAAGAAGCAATCAAAAAGGCAAAATCCAAGAAATCTTTCCTGGCTTTTCGCAAGCAAAGCCCAGCGCCGCGCGATGGAGTTAGGGTCTCCCGGTCGGAAGATTCGCTTCACATGACATTAGAAGCGCATTCTTCCGATCCCCTCGATCTGCCCCCCCACACGCAACAGCCTGTTGCTTCAATTACCTCGTCTACAAACCAATGATCTCCGGGACCCTTTCGATGACGTTGCAGAACAAGCAGTGCTGTCGGGTAGCCCCGGCGCGGTCGCTACTGAGGGCGTGGGCCTAGAGGAGAAGCCCATAGCCTCCAAAATCCGTCAGAGCTGGGCTCTGGTCTCGACTGCCCAGGCGAGCAGCGTCCAACTCACCGAACACATCTATGAACTTCCCGCTACTCCCCCGTCACCTTTATCTTCATTCCCTACGGAGGTCGAGCGCAATGTCCCAGTCAATATCCCTCTCCCCAAAGATATGCCGGTGGATTTGATTCTATCAATCATGCAGAACATCGACTCTCTAGATGACCTTTTCAACTTCGCCCTCGTGAATAAAAAGATCTACATCGCTTTCAAGGGTCGCGAGCTGCCCATGCTGAAAAATGCCCTATTCAAAATGTCCCCGCCCGCTTGGGAAATGCGCGAAATGAGTCCGCCATGGGAAATGGAGTGGCAGCTACTTATAGATCCGGACTCTCAGGTTCCGGAATACACGCCTACACTGTATCTACAGAGATATGCGCAGGATATTTATACTCTTGCTAAGCTGAAGGCATTGGTTCTTGCGCGGTGCGCTCCGTTCCTCCGTCGTGATACTATTCGTGGTCTGGCGGGCGTGGATAATACCCGCGCTGAAGAAGTTGACGATGCGTTCTGGCGGCTCTGGACCTTCTGTCGGATTTTTGGCAGTGGTAAGGGGCGGGAGAATGATATCGCTGGCCAAATGGACTGGTTGAAGGGTGGTGTTCAGGCGAAGAATCATTTCACCTCGGCTTCGGTGATGACACAGCCTTTCGGTATGAATAATGTTTTGTTTGAACCGCCCGAGGGATTCGGTCGTGGGAATCTTTCCGGTTTATCTCAGAAGCAGATGTACGATCTGACGGAAATCTGGACGTGCATGGGTGTTCTGTTGCAGCCGTTGCATGGAAAATGCATTGAAGCTCGCAAGGTCGGCATTTTCGATGGCATGAATGTCCCAGATGGTGATTTGGCCCTCGAAGAGACTGTTCTCGGTAAGTGAAACCAAAAAAATCATGTTTATTTGATCATGGCTAACTCAGAGATACAGAGGAATGGACTTCATACATTCTCACGCTCGGTCTAGGCGCGGTCTTAACACTCAGCTCAGTCTGCCCAGCCGATACCACCGCCGCCACATTCACTAAGGCCAAGTCAATCGGTCTCACCAAATGGGAAGGAACCGAAACCGAAGCCAGTCGATCATCATTCCTAAAAGAAGCAGTCTCCCGCGCCTATGATCTCCAAGAACGTGCCCTTGACAGCCCAACCGAGATCAGCCCGCGAAAAACAAGTCCTATCGAAAATGACCGCGAGATCCGTGAGCGACAAGCTGGATACGCCTATGAGCTTCGTCGTCGCCGTGAGTGCGGTCTCGATCCAGATCCCAAAGGCCGGTTTTCCTTCTCTGCCGAGCGCCCTATGTCGGAGTTCAGCACTATTGTTCATAATCTTAACGGTTCGCTTCGAGATCACCGGCCCATTCCATCTGTGCCTGCGCTCGTTCTTGACAGGTCCTCGACTTCAACGGCTGGGACGGCTCCTCAGACCCCAACTCATCCATTCGATCCTGCCAATCTCTTTGCTTCGTCGCATACTCCACCACCACCACCACCTATGATGTCTCTCCCTCTGAGGCCGCAGGTTCTAGATCCTGTTGACCGTGCCATTGACATGATGGTTAATGAACTTGGTTTTAGTACGCAAGATGCTAAGTGGGCTCTTAAGATTACAGATACTGGTGAAGGGATTGATGCTACCGCTGCTGTGCAGTTGCTTCAGCGTCAGCGGGAAAAGAATGAACGTAATCCCTTTGGTCAAGGTGATACCCTACTGTCGGATGTTATTAAGCGTCAGAAGTCACAGGAATTGGGCTGGCGCTGGGCTTGATATTGTTTTCATTACTTTGTCTTTTTTTTGTTATTTTTGGCCTGCATTCCTTTTCCATCGCACGATTTATCCATGATTTACTGCCACGATCATTATGTGCTATATACCCTTATTTTTATTTTGGAATTGACTTTTCTCTCTTAAATCGCTTTTCACTTCAATCTCAGATTGTGCTTATTGTTGTCTGGTTTAATACTAATCTCATCTTATTAATGTGTATGTGAACATATCATATCCGGTGAATAAATTGAAATATTTCCTCTCCAAAGAAATATCTGTTCCAAATGCAACTCGGTCTAGCTTAGCACTACAATAGTAAGAGGTGACGAGCCTGGGAATCACAGACTAGAACAGTATATTGTAGGTTGCCCGATTCCACCACACTGTACTACCCAAATAGGAAAGAGCCACAAAGTGAGGTTAAAATGAACCAAACGCATCAACTTTCGCCCTTCGGGGCATACTGGTCAACTGAAAATATACAGAGAAGATTAGCATGGCCCCTGCACTAGGTTGACATGCATAATCAAAGAGAAGTTACCCATTTTTTTTTATTCACGCAAGCTCATATAAGATGATACAGTACCCAAAGGCAGGCTTGGGCTTGTATGTATAGGAGCACGCGCCGTCGCCGTTCGACTCTAGCGCGTTGTGCTTTTTTTTTGGGGGGGAAGCTTTACTCCTATATTATCCTGGATTTGATAGAAACCAACACGTCATAATATGTATGCAGTATAACGTTACATTTGCGGGTTTTGTTATGAAAACACAAAGAATAGAATATCAGAGGAAGAAACAGTAAGCTAAGCTATATATATTTTTTATTGCTAGTCGGAATGTCTGAATTAAATTTGGTTGGTCGAGTACATTTGAAGCTGAATGGGAAGTGAGGATTAGACATGGGTCTTCAAAAGTGGGTTTGCATCTCTGGAAATCTCATGAATAGTATTCATTTTCGGGGCCATAGCAACATCTCCACAAAAATGTCTATCAGGTTCAAGTTGAATCGAACACCCGATTTTTTGTCTTGCAAAGAATGCAACAGCAGTAATCTATCTCAAAGCAACGGGGCTAATGTATATATACAAATGCAAAAGAAACAAAAAAGGCTGGAACGAAAGCATAAACTCATCAAATCGTCATGTCGGCACATTTTATAGGTCCGCGTATTTTAATCAAACACCACTCGGCTCGTCCTCATCCGACTTGTCTCCATCATCGCTGTCCTCACCCCAGCCCTCTGCTTCAAGGGAACGACCGCGGATGCCAAAGCTCATGATGAAGCCAATAAAAGAGACCACTCCGAAGACTCCGAATGCCAGGGCCTCTCCTTTGGGCTGAATCTTGGCTGTGAGGGAGAACAGGCCTCCCGAGAGGAACGGGCCCACTGCACGTCCAGCTGCGGAGAGAGTCTGTGCAAGACCATTCAAAGCACCCAGAACGGCATGATTAGGTGCCGAGTTTGTGACCTGGAGAAATGATTAGTTTTGGTGGACTCCACAGAAAGAGAATATCAGAATTTCTTACCAGAAGCAGAGCGCTGGTCAAACCACCTACGGAGGCGATGGTCTTGATCAGCAACACAAGGCAGAGTTCGACGGCCATGATGGCCGACTTGCCAGTCAGACCATCGCTGGCCCTGCTCTTATACCCAATGAAGGGTAGTAAGATAAACGAGACAACAAATCCAAATAGGCCTGCGCGGTAAGACCATCGATTGCCCATTTTGTCTCGCAGGCGGTTGAAGATACAGATTTGGAAAATGATCGTCACGATTCCAGCAAACCCTTGAGCAAGGCCGATCTCGGACGGAGTGAGTGACCGTCCGGCCGGGGGCTTAGCTTGCGCGAAAATTGGGAAGAGCGAGTTGAAAGAAACATTGCAGAAAGCAAAGATCAGGTATGTCAAAAGAAGTAAGAGTGTATCTCGAGTGAAGATCTCATCCCAAGAGAGTTCCTCATGGTGGCCAATAATACTTGACACCTCAGAAGCAGAGTCCAAGTCACTATCGTGATCCTCGGTCTCTAGATCGCCCCTGCTGTGAGGATATGGTACTGCTTGCGGAACCTCCACGTAGGTCGGATGGCGGGCATTACCGGTGAACTGCCACAGCCATGTGAACAGGCTGCGCACCTTTTTGCCGATCTTTGGAAGACTGTCTGCGTCTTCAAGGCTCTCTTCCAGGAAGATAGCTGTGAAAACGAAATCCACCAGAAGAACAACAGCGGACAGTACGTTTGGTGCGAGATAAGGATACGGGTTTTTGTTGCCAGTAAAAGGGTTCGTCTCAAAAATGAGGAGTCCTCCTAGAAGTGGTCCCGTTATACCTCCAATTCCGTATAATACCGGGAGGTAGGTAAAAGCCTGAGACTGGTTGCTTCGGTCGGTGATTTCTCCGAGGCAGGTGGACACCAATCCCTGGTTGCCATTTACCACACCCATCAACGCCTGTACAACTATAGCTTGTACGAGAGTCTTGCAGAATCCGAATGCAACAAAACACAGCGCAGTCAGCAATGTGCCAAGCAGGATCACCGGCTTGCGCCCAACACGATCCGATAGCCAGCCCCAGAAATAGTTTGTGCTAAATTGAGCCAGTGCAAAAGCCGATGCAATGCTGCCCACGTATACGCCCACTTGTGTCGGTTCCACTTCGGGGAATGTCGATGCCATGTCCGGGAGGTATGGACTAATCGAGTTCAACGCTGTTTGCTCCGCCAGTGCAATTATCGCTAGCACTGCCATTTGCCTCTTCGGCAGCGGCGATGACGTTCCGGGTAGATCAGCGGTGTCATGGTGGGGATCGTGCGAGCCGTCTGCAGAAGATTCGGACTGGCCCGAGTTAGGTCGCCCACGCGACTTGGGCGGTGGAGTATCAAAGGTCTGGTAATGCTGCGTGGAGGAGCGGCGGTTGAGCGAAGCCCGGTCTGGACCCATCATTCTGGCGACACACCAGCAAAAGCAAGACTGATTGAAGTCTTTTCCCAGCTAACCATGCGATTAGGGTCGTGCCGAAGGCTTAATTGTAGATGCAATGCTGTGGTGTGAGAGCTTGATGATGGTACAGCCGCAACCCCGCGCTTGTTGGATGTTTCCCCGACCAATAGAATAGGGGTGTAAATCCAGGTATAAATGGATGCTCAAGAAACAAAATGTGTGGGGGAGCTTAGGATGAAGTTGACTGCAAAAGACCGCAAGCCGGAACAGGGAACATGATGATGTAAGCGATGCTGCAGATCTATGCTGAGTCAGTTGTTCTAGCCCTGAAGCACCGCAGTAGTACAGATTATTCCTTTGGATTTATCTGCATAGCGCTTGTTTTGCTTATTCCTTATTGGGTTGAATACTTATAGCCCTTGCATGTGCCGATCTTATGCTACCATTATTAGTGAGTACCGAGGCTCAACAAATTATTCGAAGCTAGGTAGATTATGTCGCTGGGTAACTTGATTTCTTTGCATATCCCCCATCAAATTACTGATATCATAGGGTATTTGTGAATAAATTTGGGGGAAAAAATACTCCCCACGCTATAAATTGGGATACTATGGCAAAACCACTTGTTCCTCTGTTCTCAGATTAGGTGGGCCGGGTCTATGCAGGCATCATACTATTGTGATTGGTACTGCAGTATATCTATATATATCACCAGCATCATACCGATAATACAAACCACTACCACTTAAAATATGGCGCTCCTTGCATTATCATATAAAATAGCCCTGCACGGAGTAGATTATACTACAATGCTAAATGATGGTAAACCGGGTGCCAAAAACAGCTACTTTTAACGCCATCTCAAGGACTAGACGAAATCCAAGAACGTAGAGCAAACGGGCGAATCTAGTAACTACCCGATTTGATTCGTTCAACAGCAGGAAGTTTCATACATAGTATATAAGCAGTTAGTTTACTAGGACCATCCTTCTTTATCCACCAGTAAAATTCTCGATAAATAAACAGCGCGCTTACTTCCCATACCCTGATTGATTGTTATAACTTGGCACCATCTCATTCCCATGACACTTATCTACCTTTCTTGACGAACCGTGCTCCCTTAAGAAACATTATGCTCGTCGTCGAAACTCCCCAAAAGATCGACCTAGACTTAGGCGAGATAGAGCGTACCAGAACTGTACCACCTTCTCATTTCTTCTCCAGACCGTGACATCGACGTCTCTGGTGAGATCTCCGAACAATGCCATTCATCGACGTGGTTCGAATGCCATCTATTTATTAACAGCTTCCACCAGCCTTCTGACATTATTCAGATCTTCGAATGATCTAGACTTGAGAATGAAGTATCAGAATAAAGATCCATGCATGTCAACTTTCACCTCAGTTATGATGCCACAATATGCCACATCTTCCATCAACCAGCCAAGTGGCCGAGCAGTAACTCGACCATCGCATCTTCCTTGGTCTAGTGGTGATGATTTCCGCTTGTCATTAATACCGATAAGCGCGGGAGACCGGGGTTCGATTCCCCGAGGGAGAGATTTCTTTTTGCACTTCTTTGGTCCACGTTAGTACATTTCTTTGTGGTTTTTTTTTTGTTCATCGCTTTTTATTAGTCCCAAATCCTACCAAACCGTTTAAACCGATCCGATACATCCATGGTTGGTGGATATAATGGCTCTGAACACAACATGAAAATCCCGATGCGAATATTTAAAGTGGGTCCTTGCCCTAAAAAGTCTGCAGCCCCATATATCAAAACTGGGCCAAATCTTTCACAGGCCGGCTGGCCCAATGGCAAGGCGCTTGACTACGAATCAAGAGATTGCAGGTTCGATCCCTGCGTCGGTCAATCTTTTTGCTTTCCTGGCTTTCTTTTTGCTCTATTGTTGGAGCTGGAGTCGGTGGTAGATAGTAAGTAGAGTAGGGTGGTTCGTGGGTGGCGGTTTTAGTTTTCGGAGGTGGTTAATGAGTCACCTAGCACAAGCATGATATTCAAATAATGACATGTGAAATTTATGTTCGGAGCTGTGGAATACAGACGTAAGCTCAAGGATATCGCCCAATATAATGGTGCTGGACTGGTATGGAGGACATGCAAATAGATAGGAAGAGTGTATGTACCATTGTGGAGGCAGAATTGGGAGATATCGCCAAAATGCCAGTAATAGAACACCTGTATCGATAAATGCAAATGTAAGGGACTGGGAGTTTGACAGCTCTCTATATTAGTGGGGATAGTGGAGGTTTCAGGCCAAACAGATTCCCGGTTAGGGCTGCATATCAAATAAAGCACATACCTGCTACCCATGAACGACCTTGACAGACTATGTATGAAGTTCGGTTATGTTTGAATTGGTGCTGGCAATGGCATGTGTGGGGACAAATGGGGTATTGCATTTTAACCGGGACTCCATTATATGAGACTATAGTAACTTGACTGCAAGCAAAGGATTGATATGAAATGGATGTAGCTAAGAAATATCAAATTAGGATATCAAGTCGCCCCTATTTCATCAACAGACTAACAGCCCAGGGAACACTGAGCCCTCGCAGATCTCCATAATGTTGTCCAACGCCCAGGAACACAATGGGGATTCCCGTGGCATGGACCATGCTGACCAGTGTTCCCACCATGTCACCGACAGTGTCGCATTTACTGATAATGAAGCCGTCCAAATTCCTGCCAGTGCCAAACGCTTGGTTGAAGTTGCGGGCTTGCATCACACTGTCCGTGCCGACCAGAGCCTCACCGACCATGAAAATCTTGTCTGGGTTAGCAAACTTGGCGAACTTCTCAAGCGAGGACATCAGCCGCTGGTCGTTATGCCGACGGCCGGCAGTGTCAATCAAGACAACATCAAACTTGTTAGCCGCAGCGTAGTCAACTGCATCCTTGGCAACGTTGGCTGCGTCCTTGCCGTAGCCCTTTTGGTAAATCTCCACGTCGCCTGCATTCTCGCGGACACTCAGTTCCTTCAGACGGTCAGCGTGCACACGTAGCTGCTCCACGGCACCGGAACGGAAAGTATCGCATGCTGCGATAAGAACACGGTACTTGTTCTGGAGCAAGAAGTAGCAGATCTTGCTCAGATTGGTCGATTTTCCAACGCCGTTGACACCAACAATAGACATGACGTATGGGCGAGGCGCCTGCTGCTTGGTGGTGGGAGCGACCACAGCATTGATCTCGCGTAGCAAATCCAAAGAAGAAGTCGGCGTCAGGATGTTCCGCAGCGAGGATTCCATGGCCACATGCAATGCAGCATCAGTACTCTGGAAGTTGCCAGTCTTCTTGCCAATCAGCTCACGCTTAACTCCCTCGCAAAGCCGGACAGCAGCTTCGCGGGCGACATTCTTCTTCAAAAGGTGTTCTTCCATCGCCTTGAGAGGTTTTTCGAGATCAGATTCTGTCAGAACCTTTCCTCCAACAATGTTACGGAAGAAGCCACCAATTGCGTTGAAGCCGGAGCCAACAACACCCGACGAAGCAGTGGCCTTAGACTTTTCCGCATCGGCTTGGTCTAAGATGGATTGAACTTCCTCGCCTAACTCCTTCAGCACGAATTGACCCTTGCCAGTTCGACGACCCCAATCCTCCTCGGAGACAGCCTCCACCGCTGGAGCGGCAGCTTCTCCTTCGTCCGCGGGGGCAGAATAATCGAGGATCTCTCCGTCATCCTCATCCGCCATCCCACTGGCATCCCATCTGCGCATCTTCTTCACAGGGGTCTTGGCAGACTTTCCCTTCCGGACTTCGTCACCAGACGATGCGTTGGCGCTCGAGTTGGCAGCCTTGCGGGAGCGTCGGGAACCACGACCTCCAGGTCCAGCTTTCGCTGTAAGAATATGACCCTGAGGGGTCGAAGATCTAGAAATTTCTGGTGTAGCTGGTGGCGTACCCTCGTCAGAGGTCGCCCCGGCTAGCGCAGCTCTAGGCTGCGCTTTGGGATGGTCAGCATGCGCTTGAAACCGGGGGGTTATCATTCCATACCTTTCACCAGGCCAGGCACCGGCGGGGGCGGCGGGCCTCCATTGTCCGACGAAACAAGCGGGTCTTTCTTTTCACCCGCCTCTGGCACATGTTCCTCTACAAAACCACCAGTGTTGTCTTCAAGCTCCCGAACTTGTTGTTCAAAGTATTGATCGAAGCGATAGGTCTGGATTCTCGCGCGGTTTCCCTTCACCTGGTCCTTGTAGAGATCAATAAAGATTGTCGAAATGTTCTCAAGAAGTTTGTCGATCCAGCCAAGGTGGAGTAGCGATTGGTAGACAGCCTGCATAAACTCAGAGTTAGTCGAAGCAGTGAGGCGCATGCGCGCATGCGACCAGACGTACCACGAAGATCAAATCGAATTCCTTGACTCTCTTCCATTTCAGAGTGTATTTCTCCTTCTTGTATGCTGGCGAGACTCCACCAGCTGTCGCATTCTGGGGCACGACCTTCTCTTCGATAAAGACATCGTTGATCAGGCTGTTGATAACATGTGCGCCCACTGGAGCGTACGCCTTGGACCAGAGCACCACGCCCGAAGTCGTCAAAATTTCAAAAGTCTCCAACATTCTGAGTATCTCCGGCAATCGATCGTCAAATGTGAGAAGCAGATAATCAATGTGGGAGGGAAAAAAATAGCCCGGTGTGACTTGTTGGTGGCGGGACGGGGCGAAGTTGGGGGAGCTCGGAAGCGGATTGGATCTTCAGCCACGTATAAACACTTTCCTCCGCTATCAACCTCGCTTCTTCCCCAAATCCCCGTCACACGATCTGGACGACACATTCGCCACCGAAGTTCCACGTTCCTTATCCTTCTATCTTCGTTTTCTTATTTAGGTGCATCATGTATCGGGGCTCTTTCGCTCCGCCGCCCGCGCAATCGCCGCCCCTTCACCACCCTGTCCCACAACATGTCTCGACCGTCCCTATGATGCGCTCACCTCCACCACCAGCTCCCCAGCAACCCCCAAGTGCTGGATATGGCGGTAACCCATACCAACCGTCACCGGCCCAGGGGGGCAGTGGAAGCTATGCCCCTGGTGTTCCTGGATTTGGTGGGTTCATGAATGAACCCACGGCACAGATGGGCTTCCAGGTTGGCAAAAGCGCAATGGCCGCTGGACAGGAGTACATGGAAAGTAACGTATGCAACATTGAAAGAACTCTATTTGCCGCTTATAGCTAACCTCGACATCATCTACAGTTCAATCGCTATGTCTCTATACCCGCTCTCAAGCACTACTTTAACGTCTCCAACTCCTACGTCCTGAACAAGTTGATCCTTGTCCTCTTTCCCTGGCGACACAAACCTTGGTCCCGACAGCAAGCCCGAATGGCTCCAACTCCCGGACCAAATGGACAAATCCTGCAGCAACAATACTCGTCCATGTTTCTGCCTCCTCGCGACGACCTAAACTCACCCGACATGTATATTCCCGTCATGGCTCTGGTCACATATATTCTTCTGTCGGTGTTACTCGCTGGATTCCGGGGTGATTTCCACCCAGAGCTTCTGGGGTCGATCACCACGACGGCCATTGCAGTGATCGCCTTCGAGATTCTATGCTTGAAGCTAGCGACGTACATTTTGAGCATCAACAATGACTCGCAACTTCTGGATCTGGTGGCGTACTCGGGCTATAAGTTCGTTGGAATCATTATCACCATGGTAGCGTCTGAGATCTTCAACCCCGGACAAGGGACTCGGGGTTGGGTGGGGTGGACGGTGTTTGCGTACACATTTTTGGCTAATGCGTTCTTCCTGGTGAGTAAACGACTTCTATCTTGTTTCTCAATGCGTTCCGCAGTTGCTAATATTTGAACTCTAGCTTCGCTCGCTGAAATATGTGTTGCTCCCCGATTCGACTGACTCCGCCATGCATGCCGGTTCGATGCAGGCTGTGGCTCGGTCCCAGCGTAACCGACGCGGTCAATTCTTGTTCGTATACTCCTACGCGGTTCAGTTCATTTTCATGTGGGTGCTCAGTCGCGAGGGACCGTCCTCTGCGGCATCTGCCGGCTCTGCATCGTCATAATTAGGTATGCAACGGCAAGGAATGATTTCCTCTTTGCGATTTGGGAGAGATAGACTAGGTTGGTAGGAAGGTATGACATGAAGGGACAAGTGGCTTGCTCTGGGTCTTTGGGCATTGCACGGCCGAGGTAACGATATAGCACGACTTTTTGTAATCAAAACTATTTGCATTTGTACCCAAGGTGTTTTGTAGACGTAAAATGTACAGCGTAGGTGGAACAAGGCGAGTCAAGTTGAGTTTTGGAGATACAGGAGTATACTACATAACTAGGCTACGGAAGGAGAATATTTTGTCTTAAAATATTTTGCATTGCAATGGCTATATAAGACAGCGAGCTGCCAGTCTGACACAGGAGATCCTATATTCTTTTGAAGGTTAGCGACGAGTCACAACCAACATAACAAGCAATAATGTGCAAGGTAATAAGGTTCTCAGAGATCTTGGTAGTTAGGTAATTTCATAGCGAGAAGCTCAATTACTATCTAGGCGTGATAAAAGTTTCTAATCATCGGACCTGGGGGGTATTGTGGAGGATGGAAGGTGTGAACATACCCTGTGGAAAGACGGAGAGTTGCAATGGTTGATATAAGTCCTTAAGGGTTCAAGTCCAATGTCCTAAAATCTTCAAACAGTCAGCGCGATGTCTCTCAAAAGCATTGACAGCATGACATGAGGGTTATAATCCATATCAGAATATGTAAGAAATTGAATATCATCCGACAGCGCTGTATAGAGTGCCCCGGCGAGGGCCTCACAGACACTGGGTCAATCGCAAATTACGGCATCATATGAGGAATGAGGGAGAAGACCGGAAGACCGGAAGACTGGGGGAAAAACATGGGAATATGAGCATACCTTAGTAAATGCTACATATGAGCGATTGTCGTAACTCAAGCAAACGCAGACTCATCATTAAAGTCTTAAGCTTGTAAAGCTAAGTAGCTTGAAGAGATCAACAATAGTTCTGCGCCAAAAAAAACGAGATAAATGGACGGATTCGGATAAATGTTAATGCGGATGCTGAGATAATCAGAGCCCTAGACCTGCAAGTGGCCGGTTAAGCGAGAATGTTGCGAGTGTGGGCACATCCGAATTTCGAGACAACTCTTGGACAATTGAACTCTTTCGACAACCCCTTCTCGACTCATACCCCCTGTCGACCGTGAGTGTACAATCTCCAAATATTACAGAACCGCGACGCTGAATTTTTCGTCTTGCAGAATTTCGCCATGGCCGATATCGATGTCAAGGTCGCTTCGTGGAAGCTGGTTGAGGTTGGCC